TATGTGCCCCCCACGTGCTAGAGTTAATGGTTTGATGGTTTACATAATTTTTGTGTTCCATAATCTTATAAGTTTCAATTACCCACCAGTCAGAAAAACAAACCCTTATACCACAGCTGCAATTCTAACGACTTCCATTCTCATTAACACATTAAATTATTTATAATCCTACAGGTGAACTATTCAAAGTATGTTTTTATTCTTCTTATTCTGTCCATAGTGTTTCTTCCTGACTTTGTACTGTATCGTGTCTATCTTTTGTCTGTTGTTGCTGTTCTCCATCATACCTTGGGTGGAGCTAGTTTTCCATTGTTGTTTCTTAAGTTCTCCATTGCTCCTAAATTCAATATACATTTTTATATGTGTCTAGATTCCACCCCAGATTCAGTTTTGGAGACCTCCTCCTACCTTCCAAGACAGTCCTGAACAAAATGTATTGTCAGTGCTCTGATTCAGTATACTACCCATAGACAGTAGTAGTAGAAGTAGCAGATAAATTTTAGGATACATCCCTACCACATTGGGCCAGTGAGATAGTTTTCTAGGTAAGGCTGGTGATTATTTTTGGTGACAGGCTTGCTGTGAAGGGTAAATCAAGTTAACAAGGTGAGAACTCAAGATAATAATGTGATGGTGAACTTGGTTTACCCTTCGCTGTAAATCTGTTGGCGGCCATTAAAATCACCAAGAAACTTCTCACACGGGACTACAGCTCAATATTTAGATCAGTCCTAAGTTGCCTCACCTATATCTGCCATTCTTGTCAAACCAGTCTATGCACCTGATTTCATTAGTCGGGAGGAGGGGGTCTCAAACCCCACCATGTTCACTTTCCCTCCCCCTAAGTCTCCATCATATTCATATTCACAGACTGAAATCCCAGATAGCATGATGGCTTAGAGTGCCAGTCAAAGGTGCAAATTCCCATTCTGTCATAAAGACCATGGGGTGACTTTGGGCTAATAACTCTCAGACTGACAATTCAGCGTTCGGTGCGGGGATAAATGGGGAGGGGGACAGCACTTTGTATGCCTCATTGCAGTCCTGAGGGAAAGGCAAGGCATAAAATGTAGCTGGAAAATAGCAGCATTGGGCTTCTAGAATTTTACCTTTGCAAATGCATCCATTCTATAATAGATCACACAGACTTTAAGCAGCAATTCATTTTGCAGTAGAAAAGCAATATTCATTTTCATGCCTCCCCCTGCCCCCCAATGTATCTTCTGGTTGGAAGACAATGCTCATTTTTTGAACTCCATGAGAAAATAATCAAATTGATGATGCATCCCTTATTTTGCACTGAAAATTCTGCACATAGGAGCTGTATTTTTTTTTACCACAGTCTACAGAGAGAAATAAAAAGCACAGACACAATCCACAGTAAATTGTTAAAATCTTGCCTTGACCGAGTGCTTACAAATGAAGAAAGATTCTTGCAGTTTTGCATAATTTGTTGCACAATAATTGGCAATTCAAAACATTCTCTGGAGTTGCTATGAATAATTGTTAAAAATTGTATATTATTATTTATTGAATTTAAAGCTCTACCTTTTCTCTAGGACTGTGTAGCACTTTCAATATGGTTCTGAGTTCTGTTTTCCATGTCTCAGTCCCATTTAAAATTGGATTAATTATCTTAGACAAGTAGATTGGCTTGAACCGGTGAAACTATAATTAAAAGTAGTCCTTCATTATTAATTCTGAACAATCAGTTGACATTTTGAAGTCAGTCACCCTTGTGTAAGCGCTATGTCAAATGCCAGAAGGTTGTCAAAAGTTATTACGCAAGAGAAAGAAGCTTTTGTGACAGTCAGTTATTTTCATATCAGGAATGACAATTAGTGCAGCAGGTTGAAAAAGGCCTTGTTTGGTAATCAAAATGCCTGAAATTCGAGAGTTGGCGTATCTAAGAGTGAGCGTTTGTCAAGGTTCATCTGAAGATAAACACAGACTCTCCCCTCAGTCTATGTTTAAATAACTATTTTTAGCCCCCTCTTGCTGTCTTGAATGTTTTAAGGAGTATTTTGAGGAGGGACATGTCATATGAATAAAATGGCTTGGCTTAATGGCTCTCAACTAGTAGTTACTGGGGACCAACAACAGGAGGGAACTCTCGCCCTCGTGTCCTCCTGTGGGCTTCTCAATCTGGTTGGTTGGTGTGGTAAAAAGGATGCTGAACTAGATGTTCCAACAAAATGATTCATTACGCTTCCCAGTTAAAGAAAGAAAGAAAAGATTGGCCTTAGACCTGACTATGCAAAGCATAAAATGATGCTCAAAATAATATGCCATGGGGCACAAATTTGCACTCTATGTACTTGTAAAACACAGCAAGGAGGAGGATCAGGACAAAACTTGAATTGGTTGGCTCTGCCTGTCAGTGGCTCTAGCTCCACCAGTTGTTGGGTTTCCTGCCTTCCACCCTACTAATCACAATGGACACCAGATACCACTGACCCATTCTAATGAACATACATGGGGAGGAGTCTGCCATTACAGTGATGCTCCCTCACAACAGAAGAGTGAGTGGAAGAATAGTCACAATCAAAACATTGATCATGTCACCTGGGGCCAATTGGAGTCCAACAACATCTGAAGGGCCACACTTTCCCCATCTCTGACACAGACCAAGGAATCAGCAGGGTGTGTAGACACAAAGCATGAGGAATGGAATTATCTTGGTTCACTTTTGATCCTTTTCTTTATCCTGCATTCTTATACCTAATCCGAACTGATCTAGAATAGCTAGAGTAATTTCACATACTGATGCACACATCTCAGTCAGAATATTGAGACTACACAAGCTTTAAACAATAGAGCTTGGAAACAGAGTTAACAAATATGTGCTGACATATCCTTTTAACCTAAATAACGAAAGTTTGTGCTCTTGCTAATCAGCAATTGATGGTTTGGGTGTATTGATAGAATTAATGCTTTTAAAATGCCTATAGGAAAACAGCAAACTATACCCCAGAATAAGAGTAAGCCAAGAGAAATATATTGAGCCATTTAAAAATGAAGTTAGGGATAAACAAAAAGTACAAAACAATTATGAAAAAAGCATCGTCTGTGATCATTTTTAAAAGTTGGTCCTATTACTTTAGAAGACATATGTGATCATATAATCAATCTGAGTGCCTCATAATGCTCAGACAAGAAAAGGTGGATGGGACTGACTTGAAATGTTAATTTTTGGCATTGTCTCAAAACAGCAAGTATAAACAAGAAACCTTCAGTTTTTTATTTTGTACAGCATATCATCTGCAGGCAAACACCTTCATACCATCATTTGCTTCTGATTCAGTGAAACACTTATGAGAGCAGCTTTATTTCAGTAAAACTATCCTGGGGAGAAAACAGCACAAATAAAATGTCTTTCAGTCGATGCAGTTTGCTCATTCTGAAGTGGAAAATGCAGGGATTCACAGAGTCTGCATTTTTTTATATGCCACTTGCTAAATTACTGTCAAAAAAGTAAAGGAGTTCAATTTTCTGCCAGTTGAATTGCTTAAACTGCCTTATTTTTCAAAAGTTCAGACAGAAACATTTTTTTTTCTTTCGAACATTTGTAAAGCACAAAAGAAAAAGCTGAAGGGATCTTAGACACAGATCTCTCCCCTCCACTCCCTCCCCACCAGACTCCATTACATTCTTCTGAGTATTATAGGATGTTGTACTTGTAGAATAGGTAGTATATGAGCACAGCTTCCTCTTGACATCCAGCTGCACACTGAAAGCAAGAGTCCATCCACAGTAGTATTGTGGCAGGGCTTTGAGGCAGAAGTCCAGGACCCCATCCTACAGAATGGGCAAGAGGACCCTTAAACACAGCAGGGCTTGCTTATCCCTTTTTGAAGTAAGTGAAGTAATACACATCACCATGTAAAATCAGGTCATCCAGTAAAGTCAATTAAGTCCAGAGCTGGATTTTATATATATATATATATATACACACACACACACACACACACACACACACACACACACAAGTGCAAGGAGAATTCCCCACCCTAGTCCTCATGGATTCCCACCAGTAACCCCAAAATCACACACACACCAGCCATGCCCTTTCGATTCTGCTTAGCCCCTGTTTGCATTTGAGGAAAACAAGATGCAAATTTAGATGCTGTTTGGATTTTCCTCTAGCGTAGACCCTGTGATTTAGAATTAGTTACAAGCAAAATCTCTGGCTATGCAACCAATATGGTTTAATTAGGCTTGTTACTTTAAGGAAATTCAAGGCTTTAGGCTCTTTTGTGCAGACTATGGTGGGCAGGAGGGAAGGCTTTGAAGCCCTGAGAAGCCAAATCAGAATCATTCCTCAGTTTCTGAGCATGCCCACATATGTTTCTTTGGAGAACCACCTATTAAGCTGCAGAGCCACAGTCTGCTGAAAAATTAGGCAGCTCCCTTGCCTCTCCGAACAAGTAGCTTCCCTCACCCCTTTTTATTAATATTGATTTGACCAGTGAGGGAACTTTTGAGGGGAGTGCTGAGCAGCATTGTTGCAAAAAGCTAGTCACTACTTTATTTTATTTTTAAGTTATGTTATTTATATTGCATTTTGTGAATGGAGCATTGAGGAAGAGGCCAGGAATGACCAGGTCTCCTTTTTTAAACATGGGAGAGTGCAGCCCAGAGACCTTTTCAAAAAAAAAATCTCCTTTAGATCCAAGATGTGTGCAGCCCTGAGATAACATTGGCAAAAAAGGGGCATTCTGCACATGTTCATGCATTTTATTTTCTCAGCCTGGTTGGTCCTCAGGCTTCAGCACACTATTGCTTGCATATTGGCAATAGTCTCCTCTTTCAATCCTCTAGACCAGCCCACCAGAGGGCAGAGTGTTGATCTGGAGTCATAATTTAAAATTCATTTGCCATAGACTCTTTGTATGGTATTGCTGTTGCCTAAAATGGTGTGGTGCACTGAGAAAAATATGAGGAGACCCAGGATTCTTAGAGATGTTGCCCTAAGAACTCTTTTCTCCTTTTTGTTACAGAATGGCAAATAAGAAGCAATCACAAGCCTTCCAAAATAGAGCCTGGCTGGACATGGAGAAAACTCAAAGCAAACCATCACCTTAAGATTGGAACTGGATCGTATTGCATAGACTTTTTTGACGTGTACCTTGATGTATGGAGCTTCAGGAAAAGGTTTGATCTGTAACCTTTGTTTAATAAAGCTGTTTTTGTCAGTCTTTGTGAGAGTAACTTGATTGTTATCTCTCTTAAACTGTGGTCATTCCTTCCATTTGCAGAGAGCAGGAAGCAGGGCCCTGTGGGTAGGCAAGTGTAGGCTGAGCAGCATTGTTGGAAAAAGCTAGTCACTCTTTTATTTTATGTTTTAGTTATGTTAGTTATAATGCATTTTGTGAATGGTGCATTGAGGAGGGTAGAAAACAGTGATAAGATGGTGAGAGTGTCAGGAGCTCGTCCTACACTCAAGTAGGACCCTGGTAGAGACACATGCCCGAATGGCATGTTCTCTCCCTCCTGGTCAATCGTTCGGGAGCTTCAAAAGCTTTCTTCTGCCAGAACATCACAGCGACCAATGCCAACAGACACCGGCACACTTAGGGATCCGCAGCGTCTGCGTAGTTTGCGTAACAGAACCCCAGCAACTCAGCATTTTGGCTAATCTACTTTATTTACATATAAACACACATGGAGCACTGCAACATGGCTCCCTCTCTCTCTAGCATCAGACAGCAAAGAGAAAGAACAAAAGACAACAGTCCCACTTCACGGAACACAGTAACACAACATCCTGTCTCTGTCACTTCCCACTCTGTGGAGTCTAAACATATACCGTCATGCGAAAGACAACAATCCCATGACTGCAATTATGGAGCAGGAATTCTAACAGAGAGCAGATGACAGGAAGTGGCAGATAGAAATAAGAAACAGGTCTAGCCTAAAGATGAATGAATCTGTCAACTTCAGTTTCTTATTTCTTTTCAGTCTTAAGTTGACTTTGCCACATTCCTGCATCAGTTGGCAATATTATTCTTTTTTTACTTTCTCGTGAAAATTCACCAGCACTTTTAAGTATGCAATTTTACTTAATGTGCACCTTTTCCCCCAAGCAGTTTCCCAGTTTTTACACTAATATATGTGCTCTCTCAGTGTGGCAGGAGCCTTCAGAATCCTGTCTCTGCACAATAGCAGCCTGATTTGCACCTAAACATTTTATGGATCAGCAAATAGAGAGGGGAAATAAATGCCCCAAAGAGCTCCTTAGACACACTGCACATCACACGTTGCCAAAAGCATACAGATCACTCTGTGCGTGCAGCCACTTCAAAAAGTGGCTGGAGACTCTGAACGCTGACACTGAATTGCCAATGGACTGCTAAGATTTGTTTACCCAGTTTGAGAGCTATCCAGAACTATTAACTGAAATGAGATGGGATTACGCCCACAGTCTCTGTGAACCCAAGTACGGTGCTTGTTTATCACAACACTTGACTGGCCGGCCAAGTCAGGCTGTGGGGTTACAGCTTTTCTCTCTCTGCCCCCCCTTCCCAATTCTTAGTAGATTGACATATGTTTGGTTGATAACTGCATGCGGCTTTATAGTTATTTTTGGTGCATATACCCAGAAGGCCATCGCTGGCACAGTTCTGCAAAGCTACGAGGGTAAATATTCCAGCGAGATGCAGTTCAGTTGTGTGATCTAAATTAGTTTCATTGTGCTTATCTACAGATGAGGTTGCCCTTTAGCTGATACAAATCCAAGAAACTGCAGTACAGCTCCAGTCCACGGATTTAGTTTATGAAAGAAGAAAGAACTATGCATGTTATTGGAAGGCTTTTGTATTAAATCTCAAAGTTTCCCAAATAATGCTTAAATCAGGCTAGATCCTGATCTGCCCCATCCCTTGTGGGCCATGATTGACAGATGGCCAGCACATTGGTTCTGTATGGAGGCAGCTCAGCTAGCAAAGCCCATGGGGGGGAAATATGTCAAATTTTCCTTGAATATTTGTAAAAAGTCAAAATATTGCAAAGAGATAGATACAGAGTAGTTCTCACTGCATAAATTGCCCACCTTACAATATTTTTCCAACTGTCTAGTATGGGATCTGTAGGTCACTAACCCTGGCATTTTCACTACATCATCACCACAGCAAGAGGCAGTAGCACACAGAGCTATGGACATAAAGCTCCTTTCATATTTAACTGGGATGGAAACCACAGCACTCCTTCAGTTTGCAAAACAACAGCACTGACAGAGCAAAGTGGCATGATTAGAAAACATTAAGAAGATAAATAAGAGTCCTGCTAGATTAGAACACAGGTCCATCGCCTGGTCCACCTTGTATCTGATGAGTAGCCATCCATTTTCCTCTGAAGGCAAACCCCTCACCCTGTTACTCATCTTCAGTATCTGCTTTCAGAGTGATCTTGCCTCTGAGAACAGAGGTCCAATTTCGCTGTCATCGGTAATTCCTGCTGATAAACCTTCCCCCCCCCCCACACACACACAAATATGTCGAAATCCATTTTTCAGTAAAAGCACATCCAGGTAGGTATATTCCTTTTTATAAAAAAAAAAATCATAGCATTTTTGTAGAGCAAACTGAATGAGGCATTGCTTAAGCAAAAGCAGCCAAATGTTTAGCTGAATCAATTAATGAGCACATTTCACATGTCAAAAAGCTGTGCTGTGTGAACAATCTCCTGTGCATTAACCCCTTTTTGTGAAAGATGAAAAACACACCAAGTGAAAGTAGTCAGGGATGCAAGCACTAATCCCACCATTTTCTTGGTTATTTGCTGGTTATCTTCCCCCTGCTCCCTTAACTTAAATAGGGATTCTGCTATGTGGTTGTGGTTGTTTTAATTGGCGTCAGTGCAATTAGAAAGCGTAGCAGTTTCTATACCTTTAGTTTTGACTCGTTTTTCCAAAGGACTGAGTCCAAGAAAGAAAACCTGCTTCTGAAAAGCTCGAAGAACAGAACAGAAGAAAGTAATTATTTATAGGGTGACCCAGGGTTTTCTCATTACTGACTCTTTCTTAAAAGAGAAAGAAGCAACAACAGCCTTGAACTCTTCCTAGTCTATATTTGGGGGGGGGGGGAGAATAGGACAGAAATGACTAGACATGCTTTCCACCTTGCTAGTGCAGAAAATCTGCCATGTCATGCTTCACTTCTGATTGATCCAATCTCTTCCAGTGTAGGCAGATATGCTTCTGTTGTCCACAGAAAAAAATACTTTTCAAAGCATATATTTTTTGAAGTGTCAGCTACAGAGCTCACATCTTTTATATTACTCACTCAGGCACATGACTTTTTATATATAATCCAGTACTGTAGTCGTTACTTATCCCTGCTATAAAATGGTGGCTACTAGAGTAGTGAAGTATAGTTTGTCAAAGGTGCGGCGAAATAGAGCTCCGTGAGGGACAAACTGCAGATTCCTTTTGTGGTGGGGTTGCTTTAAATGTATACTGCACATGTAGCACAAAAATATAGTTTTTCTCAGTCTTGAACCATTTGTGGTCACCTCAACATGCTGCTATCAATCTAGATGTCATCCAAAAGGATTGGTATGTTTAGCTGAAATCCTCCCTTTGATTAGGTTATCCACGTCTTTTCATCCTTGCACACGCCCCAAATAAATGAAGAAGGAAGTAGTGACTGCAGTAAGGATTTAGGAAGCCATATGGGATTGGTTAGGGATGTGGGTGGCGCTGTGGGTTAAACCACAGAGCCTAGGACTTGCTGGTCAGTGGTTCGAATCCCCACGACGGGGTGAGCTCCCGTTGCTCGGTCCCTGCTCCTGCCAACCTAGCAGTTCAAAAGCACGTCAAAGTGCTAGTAGATAAATAGGCACCGCTCCAGCGGGAAGGTAAACGGCATTTCTGTGCGCTGCTCTGGTTCGCCAGAAGCGGCTTAGTCATGCTGGCCACATGACCTGGAAGCTGTATGCCGGCTCCCTCAGCCAATAAAGCGAGATGAGCGCCAAAACCCCAGAGTCGGTCACGACTATACCTAATGGTCAGGGGTCCCTTTACCTTTACCTTTATGGGATTGGTTATTCCAATCAATTTCCTCATTTCTACGACTGGGACAAAAACATGTGGCATGGAAAATACTACAGGGAAAAGTAAGGGAGAATATTGAAATCTGTTGTGTATTGTGAGATTTCTGGGATATCAAGTTGCTGTTTCCTAAACTGTTTTTACTTCTCTACAGGTATATTTGTTAGATAAAAATCGCCTGGAAGGCAATCATGGATTTCCTGAACTTTACTGAACAAAATTATACATTGGAACAAAATGACACATCAGAAAAACTACTTAAGAAAGTAACACCGAAGATTCTGGTTTCTCTTACACTTTCTGTGCTAGCAGTGATGACAACTATCATCAACTCTCTAGTGATGACTGCCATAATTGTGACCCGAAAGCTCCACCACCCTGCCAATTATTTAATTTGCTCCTTGGCAGTCACAGATTTTCTGGTTGCCATCCTAGTCATGCCCTTCAGCATCGTCTACATTGTCAAAGAGACCTGGATCATGGGCCAGGTGATGTGCGACCTTTGGCTCAGCGTTGACATTACCTGCTGCACCTGTTCCATCTTGCATCTCTCAGCCATCGCTTTGGATCGCTACCGAGCAATCACAGATGCTGTGGAGTATGCCAGGAAGCGAACCCCTAAGCGGGCAGGCATCATGATTGCCGTCATGTGGGTCATTTCTGTCTTCATTTCAATGCCGCCGTTGTTTTGGCGGCACCAGGCTGCCAGCAGAGATGACGAGTGCATCATTAAGCACGACCATATCGTTTTTACCATCTACTCCACGTTTGGAGCCTTTTATATCCCGCTGGCATTGATTCTGATCCTTTACTACAAAATATACAAGGCAGCTAAGACTTTTCACAGGAGGAGCGTGAGTCGTGTTCTCAAAGAGGAGGCGAATGGACAGGGTCTCTTGGAAGGAACTGAGAAAAGCTGCCAGCCAGCTTCCTCGTCATCATGCACAAAAGGGAAAGCATCTAACCGTTCAGGAGATTTGGACAGAATGCATATCTCCCTGCGAAGCCCCAATTCTGAGTCCAAGAATGAAAAGGGATGGAAGAGACAACGGATTTCTACCACGAGAGAGAGAAAGGCAGCAACTACCCTTGGCTTAATTTTGGGTGCCTTTGTGATCTGCTGGCTCCCCTTCTTTGTGAAGGAGGTGGTTGTCAATACCTGTGAAAGATGTCAGATTTCAGAAGAAATGAATAATTTTCTGACATGGTTGGGATATATTAATTCTCTTGTTAACCCCCTGATTTACACAATCTTTAATGAAGATTTCAAGAAGGCATTCCAGAAACTTATCCAATGCAAGACCTCTCTGTGAAAAGAAAAAGTACTCTGTGGCTGACTGGTTTTTTTTGTGGGGGGAATGGATTCGCAGTTCTGCTCATGGTAGTAGAATTGTGCCACACTGTGTTGGAGATTTCATTAGAATCTAGAGGGTTCCAGTGGGCATCCAGAAAATTTCAGGGATATGGTAGGCTGCAAAAAGAGCTCCAGCACCGATAGGTGCCATGACCACAGCAGTCCTAGAAGTCTAAGCCCAGCCCTGTAATCTCTCGTGTCTTCTCAGTATGACAGAACCAAGCTGGATTTGGCAGATGTTAGGTGGAAATCTGGGCACACACACAGAGAGAGTGAAATCCAGGTCCACCAAACTTTTTCTGGAGTACATCTCTAATATTTACATATACATGATTTCTAATAACACTAGCTCTGTTCAAGAAAAGCATTGAAACACCTGCATATTGACTATCTCTGTTTTGTATCATTACCATCTCACAGTGAATGTTGTCCACACACTAAGATGTAACATTTGGTCATATTTATTGGAAAGAAGCTAACTACATGCATAGACCTATTCAGATAGGAACACTTAACTTTTACGTGAATTGATCATCACATTGTATACTTGGGGCTCATCCAAAAAGTAGCTTTGTGCGCTCCTGATTACATGCTGTAACATGCAGCTGGGAGTACAGGAAGCATCCCAAGGAAAGGTCAGCGTCACTTGAAACTAAGATGATGCACAAGCGTTTTCCAATGCAATTACTCACTAATCTAGTGACTCCTTTGGATATTAAAACCTGAAGCTGTTTTACAAAACAAATTCATCTTTCATCTATTAAAAATTTAGCTTATAAAATACATAATGAAAATGGAAAACAGACTTTTTAATTCAGGGTTCGACCATTCCACTTCCATACGTGTCAGCAACTGAAGTGGAGCTTCTCTCATTAAGGAAGTGTGTTCTCTGAGTTATGTAAGAAACCATTCAGCCTGGATTATCTCAAATGGAAGTGATGTATTGAACCCAACTCATAACATGATTTCTTCCCTCTAAGGTACCACTGAACTTCCAAGACTTGTGTGGGTTGTTCCCCTTATCACAAGGACTCCAGGGACATGGTCATTTCACATCTTCTCCCTCTCCCAGGGTTGATTCTCATAATGAAGCCAAAACAGTGGCATGTTGTATCTTGGGGGTCTGGTGGGCTTTCAGTGTGTACCAAAGAGGTCAAATCAGTGCTGCACTACTCAGCTTGTCATAGTCTGACTGAAATATGACCTTGCGATGCCAGAGTATTACCATTATTCTTTAAATAATTATAATCTCAATTTCTTAACTGAGTCTGCCATCCTGCATATTTATTTAAAATAGCAACCAGACATTCCAGAAAGAAGCAAAACAGCAGATAAAGCAAGGGTACAGTGATAAATTCCCAAAAGTGTTAGCTAAAATTCAACAGAAAAGGAACCAACAAAATAATGATACGATGGACAGAGAGGGACTTGCCTCAAAGTAAAGAAAATAAGTAAGCATAGGATTCAACCACTAAATCTGAAAATATTAACAAAATACAACACAGTAATGGCACTCCCTAAGGCAGGCATTGAATTAAATAAACCATTAAGAATTCTGTTGGAATAAAAAGCTTCAAAAGGCATATAAAGGTCAGACTGTGACAAGTTTCTTCAAGGAAAAAACTTCATAAGCATTTACTGCAACTTTCACCACAACCCCCTAGAAACTACATCAACTCACATATGCATACAAAATGATCTGGCCCACAGAATTAATTGTCTAAAGCAGCTTTGAAAGATGGCAAGACTATCTTCAGATAGAACCCTTTGAATTATTTCCCCAAGACATAAAATGCTTTGCAGAGCCTGTTTTCACAAACTAGAAGCAAAGGCCATTTGAGAACCTTCTAGTAAGGGCCAAAGTTGAGTGCTCTGCTCAATGAGAAGTTATTTCCGTTGTCTTGTTAGTCTGTGACATTTTCCTATTTGAGCTGAATTATCAATTATTTATTTCTTTATTTTTATTCATAAAACTTAACTGCCACGAACAGAGACTGAACCTTTGACGACTGCAGTCGGGGTATCACTCAAAGGACCCGGTGCACAAGCCCACAACACAAATCTTCATAAATGCATGGAGTGCTCTGGATAAATGCAATTGGCAGGTAGCAGAGGACCCACCAGTCCTACATTTTGCAGCACACCCATAAGTAAAAGGGTTAAAGAGGATTAGGGCAGGAGATCTGGAATATTACATAGAAAATCTGGGGTTCAGCCCCATTGTCCAACCCATAAAAACACTCCTGATTGCAAGGCACTACACTCTTGTGCATCAGTTCTAACTGCTGCATTATTTTTGAGAAACTGCCAGGAAAGACACTCTGCATTTTTTAATAAGCTCCACAACAACCTTATTGAGCTGTTTTAAATTCCTCATGAGTTGGAGGAATAAGCAGTGGGGATCCTGCTGTACACATGTAGGGTACTGTGTGATTCAGAACCCTGGAAAATCAGGAAGAGCAATGGGGACAAGATAACACATTAGTTCTTGCTCTTCATCATCATGTGGGAGATTTAGGAATACAGTGGTACCTCAGGTTACATACGCTTCAGGTTACATACGCTTCAGGTTAAAGACTCCGCTAACCCAGAAATAGTGCTTCAGGTTAAGAACTTTGCTTCAGGATGAGAACAGAAATCGGGCTTCGGCAGCACGGCAGCAGCAGGAGGCCCCATTAGCTAAAGTGGTGCTTCAGGTTAAGAACAGTTTCAGGTTAAGAACGGACCTCCGGAATGAATTAAGTACTTAACCTGAGGTACCACTGTACCTGAATAAGCATTCTAGGTACATGCCAACCTGGAAAGTATGGATATCCCACACACCATTTCTCTCTCCTGCACACATCCATCTATGCTGCTTCATTCCTTCATTCCTAGACAGGTATCATTGAGCCTACTGAGGTCTGGAGGCTTGTCCATGCTTACGTACCTTTTGCCCCGCGCTTTTCAGGCACAACTCTGTGATTTAAAGCTCTATGAGCACTCTTTTTGCACCCCAGTGCATTCCCTGTGAAAATCCACTCTTTAAAGCTGAAGACCAACCAATGTCCATTCAGGTTTTCAATGGATTGCCATTTGCTCCGATTTGGTGACAAAGAGCAGGTTTCCTCAGGGAAAGCTCCGGGGCAATAAAAGAGTGGTTGTACACGTAACTTTAAAGTGTGGATCTGTACTTGGAAAGCATAAGTGTAGATAAGTCCTGGGACTTACAATGACACTCTTTTACCACCACCAACACACACTTAAGAAACATGGCAAGTGTTTGCAAATACAACTCCCCTTGCACTTCCATGTAGCATTGCAACCTGGGTCATGCTCTAACTTTGCAAGTTAAGCCATCTCCCATTAAAAAAAAAAGATGCTGTCTTTAGCTGCCTATCATTATGCAGTTCTGCATCTTACAACCAGCGGCATTGGGACCTGTTGAAGCAATGCCTACAAAAGACATAATTTAATGTGCCAGCTGTAAGATCTGATGGATGACACCAACATGCCGCACTACATTAATGTGACATTACTGTGGCCTGCTTGGCGTTTCACATGCCCAGAATATTCAGAGAAAGAAATCAAATACTGCAACCAAAGAAAAAACACTTCAAATTACACTCCCTGAATGGCTTCATTTAGATTTATGTAAAATAATCACTCTTGGGGACATTCAGCATCACAGAGTCAGATTCTGCAAAAGCAACTCTTGAGTTTACAAACCCAGTCTACCACCTGGGGAAAATATGTGATTCACTCATTGAGGCTTGACTGAGGTCATACTGGAGAGTAACACAGCTAGGTAGAATGACCATCTTAGTTATCTACTCTCTTTCTCATGAAGTATATTTCTGGGATCCATATATCATTTGATTTTGATTGTCCAGAGCAAAGCTATGTTCAAACCATATTAGGGGAAAGCACTGCAATTTCATTGTATGTAAATATTTGTCCAGTGCAAAGTTAAGTCCAAACACTTTGCTAGAACTGCAGCAACTGCCTCTTCTGATGCAGCAGTTGCCGCCCTAGTTCCAATCTATTAAGGTACAAGTCAGGTGGGAGCGGGTGGGATGGAATCGGCTGGCATTTCACTTATTCCATACTCCAAATAGTGTCATAAATCTGCTTTTGCAAAAGGACAATAGCCACAGAAAAGGACCTCGGCGTAAACTGTCAACCGAAGGACTTCTTACATCTGTGCGGCACTATCCTTAAGCCACTTTGTCCAAATTGGATGTTCTGATGTGGGACTTGGAGCCGGGAGCTTCTTAACTTGCGAGTCACAGTGCTGACAATTGATTTATATGGTCCATTTCATAGTGGTTGCCGAGTGCAGAAGAATTATATTGCCATTATTTGTAAGACCTCACGGAGCAGAACAAAGGCAGGGGGGAGGTGTCGCTGTTAGGAAAGAAGTTATTGAAGCTATCACGTTTGCCTGCAATGTCTCCGGTTCGGGAAATGGATCAATATGTAGATAATAAAGAAGAAAATACCTGTTACATTGTGCAGTCAGTGCTTACATGCAATACTTGGCAAATATAGCAGTTGCTGCTGCAGCTAGGAGTCAAAGGTGGGCTCTTTCTACCCTTTAGGCTGGTTCCAACTGGAGCATTCAAGATACCAACAATTGCAGGATGTAGCTAAGTAGCTTTTTCAAATATCACCACTTCTAGGTCAGTATTTAGTCACCAATAATCTCATGCCACATGAGACTCTTTTACCACTTCCAGTAACTGTATTGGGTCATGATATGCCATTATGGCTATTGGGGGGGGGTGGAGCCAGAAGCCTAGGCAATGGTGATATGGTGTCTAAAGTCCTCCATCCTGGCTCATCCAGGGTTGAGCCAGCTAAACTGAGGCCAGGATAAGTCCTGGAAAATGAATGTTGCGGGGGAGTGGTGGGACAGGGAGAGCCTTACCCCTATTCCTGTCCCTATTCAGCTCGGTGACATGACAAAAACTCTTTATTTTGAAAGGCTTGTTTTCCCTCAGTCAAGCTCAGGCCAGCTCAGCTGGTAGCCCCACTTCTGAATGGAATTTGGCATAGGGGTGGGTTACATTCGTGTAATGTGTCCCCAGTATAAATGATACTGGCTTCCTGGGTTGCTCTGTAAGTCTACAAATCTGCCAAGAGATTTTGCTATCATATCAATTCTAAGCATCAATTTCAAGTGTCCGCCCCCCATAGGAATATTCCAACTGGTGGAGATGAAGTAACTTCACCCCCCCATGTGCCCCTTTGAGTCCTAATTGGTACTGTGGTCCTAACATGGCCAGTTGGGACTGGTTTGGCTACATTCACTCATCATCTTAAGTCTTCTCTTGAATGGGAATCATCCCAAAAATACCGCCAAGGAAAATATATCAGATTTACATTTCCAGGACTGGACTGGAAACAAAGGAAAGACTGATTTGCATTTGAAATAGGGGCATGTTTCCTTGGGGAAAGTACTCTCTATATAAGAATTTCCCAGGGAAGATGGTCAGATGGATTCTTCATCCCTAGAGGATGACCATTTCCAGATTGGATATGTATTACTCAATAACCAAAGGTTATAGCCTCGATTCCTATCACTTTGCTTGATTAAATGCTCAATAGAATAGGGCATCGGAAAATCTCAAAGTGTATGAAAAGAAACTGTCCTGAACTTTCTTACTTTTCATATATAACCATTTATGATCTCTTAACTCCAGGGCAGCTAGACAATGTCAGTGTTGCCCCCCTGTCTGCTTTGAAGATGCTCTTTCATTAGCCTTCATTGCTTAACAATCAATTGTACTTCTTTTTAGCTTTTTTTTTTTGCATTTAGAATTCTGAAAAGCTTTTGTTCACCTTTTAGCATTAGTATGAAATACCTACAAAGAGCACATATATAAAGGTCAGAACTTGGTGAAAGGAAGCAATTTAAAACAGAATCATCTTCTGCTCTTCTTTCTTCTGCCCTTTCTTACCCACAGGGTAGCTTCTAATTATGCTCACAAAGCCTCATGCCCTCTTCAACAAAGTTTATTTCACTAGAGCCTAGTGCACAACAAGTGCTTCCTGCGTCTCCATTTTGGGTCTAAGTCTTCATTTGTAAATATAGAAAGCCCCTATACGAGAATCCCCTTATGCTACCCCAAATCACAGACATTTACATTAAGTTCTAAAAGAAATGCAGACACCCCAAGAGAGGACATGTGTGAATGTGTGGCATCTAGTGGAAACAAGCCCTAGTGGAAACTTCAATATTCATACCCAAACACAACTGAAATTTGCCCCAGCAGGTATGAAGGATATAATAGATTATGTTGAATGTCTCTTTGAAAATGAAAAAGAGTTAGAAACTGAAAGTACAAGTGGGATTGACCTCAGTGTCAGAACAGTTTGGATTTATCAGGACGTTGCGACTGTCTAAAGAAGCAGATGTTAAGTGCCAGGGCTGCAACAAGACTGGGAAACAGGGAGAGTGGAGGGCAGATTTCCAGCCCTGCTGTTCAGGCTGCTTCCAGCTAATGGCAGAGTTCCACACATCATCTGAATCCCAGGGAAAGGAAGCACAACGTTCATCTTGCCTCGAATGCATAGATTCTGCAGCAGCCACACTGGCAAAACGGTCCACTTCACCAGGAAAGCAATGGCATCACATTCAGGTCTTATTTATATTTCTACAGGGCTGGAGTCCATAACATGTGGCCTGCAAACATGATTCCTGATGATTCATAAAAGATATATTGGTCGATTCTCCCTGGGATACAACAGAACCCGCTGAAAATTACTTATTAACAATCTCGGTTAGAATTGTGTCGTGTTATTTTTCTAGGCGGAAAGCATATGCAGTGTTTGCACAATTCCTGCTAGCAACATGGCCCATGTCTGTTAATCTATGCCCTGCAATTAATGGGGATAAGCTTGTGTCGCAAAAAGGCATCTATAAAACCCTAGCACTAAAACCTTTTACAGTAGCAAGTATAGCGTAATGCAGGGGTTCCTAAACCATGTTCTGCTTCATTCAGACCACAGTACGTCCGGAAGACAGTAGAGGGTACATCTATCACATTAAATAGTCATATTGATTTTTACTTGTATTTGTATTGCTTCTTTTGTTTTATTTTTATTGCATTTTATTAAATGACCTATGGTGTCCCTATGGGATTCATATTGTAATGCAATCAAATACAATATATAAGAAATAAATGAAATAATAAAAAATGCAATGATGCAGCAGCCAGCACAGCACATTGCAATTGCCACCACAGTCAGAAAAATAATTAGGTGGTCTGCCAAGGCCCACTGGCATAATGTAAGAACAAAAGAAGAGCCTGCTGGATCAGGCCAATGGCCCATCTAGTCCAGCATCCTGTTCTCACAGTGGCCAAGCAGACTCATCAGCCACAGGTCTTGGTTTACTCCCTGCCTATGCGTCTGTCATTCGGCTCTGAATCTATAACTTCTGACTAATGCTGGCTCCATGATTTGAGGGCTATTGGGCAATACATCTTGAGTGGTTCTCACTACCTGCCTTCCTCTGGGCCCAATCCACACAGTTGCTAAGAAGGAGAGGTGAGCAGAGGTCGCTGCTCCTTGTCACTCACTTACTAAGGAAGGGCAATGACAGCAAGGGGAG